GCTGCTCTGAATTACAACAGCCTCCCCCATCCCCACACTATTCTGTCATGTCTCCTCTCACTCCTGGCCTACTCCTTGTAAATGCAGAGATAAGACTAGCATAACAGGGCTGGAGAAGAGATTGAATCCCAACCCTAGTTATTGCAGTTGCTAATAAGAATACATTCTCATATTGACAATATGCTTTTTCAGTAAAGAATTGAATTCATGACTGATAAAGCTGTATTAAGTGCCTGAGGGAAAGTGTTTCAGAAGATCAGTTTCAGTATGGTGAGAACATGCACATGTAATAGCAGTAATAGGAGCAACGTGTAGGAGTAAAATTACCATCTGTCTGCTTGTGACGTGAAGGACACATTTCCTCAAACAGGATCTCTCTGAGGGACTCAGATGACCTACCAAGCAAGCAAGCAAACAAACAAAATGCTCTAAGAACTATAAAAGGGAAATGAACACAGTGGCTTTATTGTTCATTGTATGCCTTCTTATGCTTTAACAAGTTATGGCTCCATACAAACCTAACAGTGAGGTAATTATTCACACATAACATCAGGCATAGAATACACATTTTGCTCCAAACAAACTGTATGTCCCCACTAGAGAAAAGCAGGTGCTTATGCTCCATTCTGAAGAAGGATGTTTTCCTGAAACGGGGCCTATGTCTGCTGAGGTAAAATACTAGTTCAAAGTAAATAAAGGAAACAATGTTATATCAACGAATCTATATTTCATCCTCCTGATAGTATGGATCTTCAGCATTTTCATCCTCATATGAACAGTAATTATAAATTAACTTGTGTTAATTACCTAAACATTCTGTTTCTCATGAAAGGTACCATACTCAAAGGTTTGAGACTGTTTACTCATATAATATACAACACACACAACAGCAGCACAAATAATTTCCCACGAAAAAAGTTGTGTTACTCAACCTTAACTGTAAGGGGAATAAGATAGCTTATTCTCTGTATTTCTCTCTTCTCATCTTAAAGGGAGAAGTTAAGAAATAGATTGATAGTGGGTGTGGAGAATTGTATCACCTTTATGAGAAAGTGATGAGTTTCATAATGCACACAGACATAGTCCTTTAGCTGAGCTATAAGAATCTACTCCCGCTTGGGATCTGCTCCAAGCGAAAGGTACATAATAGGAGCCTAGACACTTGGTATCAGTGATATTCGAGCTGCAATCCTTTCTGCTGAAAGTTTTATTAATTATTTTATGTTAAGTGTATGCTTAAAAATTCTGGAGCTACAGCAGTAAAGCTGGTTTTTTAATCATATATAATAACACAGGTTCTGTACAAACAGATTTGCCATTTACATGGTGATGAAATGATGTGTACGTATAGATAAAATCAGACCATAAAATTTTTCACATAAGCGATGAAGGTCAAATTGATGATTAAGTACCTTCTCCTCTAACTGGTTTGTATGTGCTAACACAGTAATGGGCATGTTCTTTATAAACAGTGTAATGAAAGACTAAGATATTTAAGACAAATCTAATGAGGAAGAAAAAGGGTGGGACAAACTGGCAATAATTCCAGTCCCTTTGAAGGTTCACAAAACTGCTGACTAGGCCTTCCCAGCAGTTTATGAGCAACTAAATCCCAACTAACTCCTGACCTCAATATTTTGTAAGTTGTCGTAACATACTTTTTGCTTTGTTTTTTAAATAACTTTTTGTAAAAAAAGAGGGGATGAAATTTGTGAAGGACACTTCTGACTTCATGAGCATATCTGTGTTGCAACTGAAGGTGTGAATGCACCTCAGGAAGACGTACCCAGACTAGCTTTAATGCAGCTAGCATGGTATGTATTTCATTTAGCAAATGCTGCTAAAAATAGCAGTGAAGATGCAGTGGCCCAGACCCTGATACAGGCTACATAAGGCCACCTGGAACATGGAATGTAAATCATGTTCCTAGCCCTCACAATTTCATTTTAGTTACATTAGCTAGAGTGAACCCCCTAGCATAGGTATACCTATCTGTGCAACAGCCAAATCTGATTGCACTGTGGACATACCTTTAGGCCTGTAGCCACCAATAGGAAACTCAGGGCTCTACTCCCCTGACACAGTATTTAACTAACTCCCACTGACGTCCTCGTAGACTCGAGATAATAGGGAGTTGTTTGTGTCTTGGGTTTCATTTTCAGCACATCACTTATTCTGTCTGATAAAGTTTGTATCAATTCTAGAGCTGGTCAGAAATATTCCAATATAATTTTTTTTCATTGCATTGTGCTATTTTTAAAATTATAATGTATTGTAAAGATGGTTCTGTTTTTGACACAACGCTGAAAACAACTCTTCACATCAGCCAGGCTTTCAAACCTGCTTGGTTTCCTGCTCACCTAGCTCCTTGGCAGCCTAGTCAATCTTCATCAACATGAAACGTGAGTGCCTGATAGTTTAGGTCCAATGTTGTTTAATGTGTTCATCAATTTACTGGAAAGGAAGCGGAAGTGGTAAGATATCAAATTTCCAGATGACACAAAGTTATCTGGGTTAGTGAAGACCAGAAATTACTTGGAGTGTGGAACTACAGACAGATGTAAACAAGCTGGGTGAATACACAATACAATAACAACTGAAATTCAGTATTAAAGAATGCAAAGTACTGCACATTGGAGGGAAAAAATTAAACTGCTTGTACATAGATTTCTACATTAACTGCATAAACTCAAGAAAGGGAGATGGAAGTCATTGTGGACTGCTCAAGGATGACTCAATGTGCACTGATGGTCAAAAAAGCAAATAAATGTAAGGTTGCACAAGAAATGGTAAGATTGCCAAGAAATGGTAGGGTAATTATAATGTCTTTTATCTAAATCAATGTTGCAACTTCACCTGGAATACTGTTTTGCAATAATAGTCAGTTGATCTCAGAAAGGATATTGCAGAACTGCAGGGGGTTCAGAGAAAAATGATGAAAGAGATCAAGGGCATGGTTAAATTCACATATGGTAAGAGACTGAAAAGATTGGGATTGCTTACCTTAGAAAAGATATCAATAAGAAAAGGCATAATAAAATTATATAAAGTAATGGATGATCTAAAGAAGCTTCATCAGGAGCTTCTGTTCTGTCATAACACAAGGACAAGGGGATATTCATTGAAATTAAAAGGGGGATTCAAAATTAATAAAAGGAAATACAGTGTGTAATTAAACTGTGGAACTCACTGCCAAAGAAAGTTACTGAGACAAAGAGCTTAACCAGCTTCAGAAAGGGATTGAATGTGAATTTGAAAATCTGGAGTATTTAAAATTATCATCACCAATGATAAAAAACCTGGGTGACTAATGAGTGTGGTGACAGTTTAGCTCACATCTGACTATTATCTGCTCTTCTATTTTCTTCTAAAGCTTCTACCAGAGAAAAGATACTGGAATAGGTGAATTTCAGATTTGATCCAATGTGGCAATTCCTTTGTGCCTATATTTTGGGCTTGCTCTTGCAATCCTTACTCAGGCAAAACTCCAATTGCCTTCAAAGCCCAAATGGGGATTATTCCTCTAACTAAAATGTTCAGGATCTGCACTTTGTTTTTGTCTCCTTTCATACTTCATTTCATGCATAACATGGAATTTTCACTCCGTGTCACTCTGAATACATTAGCTGAAATCATTGCTAAGATTCAAATGACTTAAATATTTTGCACCAGGCTTTTCCAGAAATGAAAACATGTAACCACAGGGGGTGGGGGAGTCCATGAATGTCTCAGGATGCAGCTATAAACTTTTCTTGATGCAGGAGATGGTGCTTACAGTGCATAGCTGGGTAAGTATTCACTAACTGCTTGCAAATACTTCTCCATTAATGACAGCATTGATATGGGCCATTTATTTGTATGTGTTTGTGCAGCACTTAAGGATTATAAGCCTGATTAAAGCATCCAAGTGATATTGTCAAACACATTGCACTTAATGAATAATAACAATTAATAGTAATCATCATCAGCAGTAACTGAAATGTTTAACAAAAAATAAAAGAACAAGCTTGCAAACAAAACATTAGGGGAAAGGAATACTGAGCAGGAAGAGTTGAATGGGATGGAGGTCCTCAGAATAGGCTTGACGCACCTGCTCAGTGCCCACCAAGCACGCATCCCAACATGTGGAGAGAAGTCCAAAAAGGAATCTTGGACAGCCTAAGAAAATAGGAAGGAGCAAACTGGTTCATTCACATTCACTGTAAACAGCCTGGCAGCCCAGTGGTATGATGCCACTGTTACATATTGTTCTGCAGAGTCTGTGAGATAAATGCTTTAAACTCTTGGGCCTTAATTCTTCTCTCATATGTAAAGGCTTACATCAGGAGTAACTTCAGTGAAGTCAATGGGAGAAGCAGGCCCATAATCTCTGAGGTGATTCTGTAAAATGAATCACTCCCTGCTCTTTCACTTGTAAGACTGGTTTTGCTGTCACAGGTTTTTTGTGGCTAGTTTATCAGTGGCCAAGTTTCCAAACTTAAGTTCTGACATAGCACTTCAGTGCTTCTGAAAATTTCACTATCTTTTTTATATATTTACTTATAGACTCCAGAATTCATTAAGCAATTGTTTTGCTCATTACTAAAATCTTTCAAATAAAGAATTAAACCATTGAACTATTGTGATTTACTTTTATGAGGTACTCAGATATCATAGTAATAGTTATAACCTGAATAAATAGCAAGATAAGGCACTAGACTAGGGCCATATCCACACTACAAACTGTGGTTAATAACAATTACATCAGCATATGGCATGTCAAGGCTGTTCCCCACTCTGGCATTTTGAGTGCAGAAGGTGAGGGCTTGCAAGAGATCTTAAAAATACCCTGCCTCTAGAGGCTTCTATTTTAAAAACTCCCAAAATTAACAGATTCCTTGACCCAAGTGGAAAAAAACCTTTCTTCTTCAACCCAGGAAGAAATCACCTGGGAACTTCTTACAGAGAAGTACCCCCAAGCAATTGTACCACAGAAAGATTAAAAAAAAAGAAAATAAACTGTAATCTCGGATAGCTGACCTCTCAGTTTTAGGCATACATACACAGACCTCCTATTGCCTTCCCGGACACAAGAATTTGATCATCGTTTATAAAGGGTGATTTTATTAAAAAAGCAAAAAGATCTATTTGGTAAAGCATACTTGGTTGCTAGGTGTTATAGAGCAACTGAAAAAATTAAAGCACAGAGAATTGCTTCCCTGGGATTCAGCTTTAATTACAGTCTAGTCAGGGGGAATACATGGACTCAGTACAGAGGAATTATTAAACTAAACCACAAAACAAAGAAAATAACCTCATCACATCTAATTAAACATTCCCTATCTGCTCACATATCCATGCTTTCTAGGTCCAGTCTATTTCTAGGTCTGGGTTTTTCTTTTCTAGACATGAGTAT